GGTCCTCCCGCTGGCTCTCAGGGAAGGGCCCAGCACAGAGGACATTTGACTTGAGTTGTAGCTCTGTGAATGTCTAAGAGAAGAAGAATGTTTCGAGCTAAAAGGGCCAGTGAAGCAAGAGGTGGGACAGGTAGAAGCTTGGTGGGCGTAAGGCCAGGATGTACAAGAAGCCCGGGCTGCCCTAACTGGAACAGTCCCCAGAGGAAAGGAGCCGTGCCAGGCTTGGTGAAGTCGATGGGACTCAGAGCATGTCAGGAAGGGGTAGAGTTAGCATCTGAGCCTCTGAAGCCAAAATGGCAGAGCTGCTTTGTGCTCTTACAAATATCTGCGATACATAAAAATGAACTGTTATGGGAATAAGTTGACAGGCTACAGTCCATGAAGGGAAGGGGTTCTATGGATTAGTTTTGTCAACTTGACACTAAGACTGTCATGGGCAGTGCCGTCTCTGGGCCTGTGGACCTGGCCTGTATAAGAAGGGTAGCAGGGCAAGCGTGGGGAGGCAAGCCATGGTCTCCACTTCTGCTTCTGCTTCCAAGTTCTGACCTTGAGTTCTTGACCTGGCTTCCTTCAAGGATGAACTGTAACCTGTAAGCCAAAGGAACTCCTCCAGACAGTGGCTGGCCTGTGTAGGAACTCACTGTGTAGACCAGGTTGGTCTCCACCTCATCGAGATCTGCCTGCCTCTGGAGTGCTGGGATTAAAGACATGAGCCACCACACTTGGCTTTTCAAGTTACTTTTGGTCACTGTTTTATCTCAGCAACAGAAAGCAAACTAATACATGGGTTTCTCCCAGGAGACCAATGGATAACATGTCACTAAGGTCTTCACATAACCCCAGAAACAACAGCCGGAATATCAACCTGTAAATATATGTTTACCAATTGGAAGAACTTTCTTCAATTTTTCATTTCTTAGAATTGTCTAAATAGGTTTGGTTTTCTTTCTTCCTTGTTTTTTGTTCTTTTGTTTTTTCGAGACAGGCTTTCTCTGTGTAGCTTTGTACCTTTCCTGGAACTCACTCTGTAGCCCAGGCTGGCCTCTGAACTCACAGAGATCCTCCTGCCTCTGCCTCTGCCTTCAGAGTGCTGGAATTAAGGGCGTGCACCATCACCTCTTGGCCTTTCTTTCTTTTTTGTAAAGACAAGATTTCAGTGTACAGCCCAGGTGGGCCTCAAACTCACTAACATTTGACCTCAGTCTCCCAAGTGCTGGAATTACTGGCATGGCCCATGTTCAGTGGGTCTTGCTGGCTGCCTGCCTAGCTCCAGGTTCATTAATGGACTCCATCTCTAAAAACTAAGGTAGATTATGGTGTCCTCTTCTGGCTTTTGTACTCATGCCAGGACTCATGAGACCCCCAACTCCCCACATATATACACCACATACACATGTTTTTCTAATTACAATACACATATATGTAGAATTCTTTTTATTTTTCTTTGTTTTTCAAGACAAAGTTTCTTCTTTGTGTAGCATTGGCTGTCCTGGAACTCAATCTGTAGACCAGACTGGCCTCAAACTCACAGAGATCTGCCTGCCTCTGCCTCCCGAGTATTGAGATTAAAGGTGTGCGCCACCATATATATTTTAACATGGACTGGTGGTGCAGACTTATAATCCAAGCTACTTGGGAGGCCAAGGCAATCAGAGTTGGAAGTTTAAGGCCTGCTTGGGCTACAGGGTAAATTCAAAGCCAGACAAGGAAATTTAGGAAGATCCTGCCTCAAAATAAAAAGTGAACTGGATAAGGGGGATATATTAGAACAAAGTGTAGATACATGCTTATAAAGATGCCTTAAAGAAACAGTGCTTTGTCCCCTAACTGCAAACAGTAATACTAAGGCTGGAGAGATGGCTCAGCATTTAGAGAATTTGCTGCCCTTGCAGGGAATGGAATTTGACTCCCAGTTTACAACATATTATAATTCCACTTTCAAGGGATCTGACACCATCCTTGGGCCTTCTTGGGCACCAGGCACACACATGGTACACATCCATGGATGTGGGAAAAGCACTGATACACATACAATTTCAAAATTAAATTAAAAAAAGAACCTATATTGGTACTCAGGAATTTTTTTTTTTTTAAAGAAAAGTTAAACAACAACAAAAAGCACTAGGGAGATGGGTCAGTAAGAGTGCTTACTGTGTATGCAGGAAGACCCGAATTCAAATCCCGAGATTGCTGGAGCTTGCTGGCTGCCAGTGTAGCTCCAGGTTCAGTTAGAGACCTTGTCTCAAAGGAATAAAGTGGTGTCTTAGTCAGGGATTCTGTTGCTATGAAGAGACACTATGACCACGGCAACTCGTATAAAGGAAAACATTTAACTGGGGCTGGCTTACAGTTCAGAGATTAGTCCA